GTCTAACTGCTATTGCTATTGCTATTGAAATCTATCTATCTATCTATCTATCTATCTATCTATCTATCTATCTATCTATCTATCTATCTATTGGATTGTTGGGGGCAATATGCTGACTCTGTAAACCACTTAGAAAGCCCTATGAAGCGGTATATAAGTCTAACTGCTATTGCTATTGCTATTGAAATCTATCTATCTATCTATCTATCTATCTATCTATCTATCTATCTATCTATCATCTATCTATTGGATTGTTGGGGGCAATATGCTGACTCTGTAAACCGCTTAGAGAGGCCTATGAAGCGGTATATAAGTCTAACTGCTATTGCTATTGCTATTGAAATCTATCTATCTATCTATCTATCTATCTATCTATCTATCTATCTATCATCTATCTATTGGATTGTTGGGGGCAATATGCTGACTCTGTAAACCGCTTAGAGAGGGCTGAAAGCCCTAGGAAGCGGTATATAAGTCTTAAGTCTAACTAACTGCTACCGTTTCGTACACAAGAAATTTCGCACGATACGGCCAATCGGATCCAGAGAGCAAGCGATGGACCTCTGCAACGGCTGATGGGAGTGATTGATTTCTTGATTTTTTCTTTTGCAGGGAAGGGGCGGAAGAAGGATTCGCCAGAGGGACCCGATCCGCAACTCAGCCAGCCCCAGCCTTTGACGGTGGAGTTTCAAATGCAGCACATCAAGTGGGACTCGGCTTCCCCCATCGTAAAAGTCCTGGAAGCCTCGGAATAGATTTGAAAGAGAGCAAGACCACTTTCCCTTTTGAGAGACTCGGGGGACACATTTTGATGCTGATACTGCAGTGGATATAATGGAAGTCTGCATGGCCAGATTTTTTCTCTGTTCTCCTTTAGACCGGTCTCTTGTCGGCTGGGGAATTCTGGGAATTGAAACCCACCCAATTTTACAGCTGGGGAATACCGCGGAAGAGCGAAACTAGAAGGCTTTTTCTGTCGCTCAAATCAACACTCGAATTTTTGGGTGACCGCATAAATTCAAACGACAAACGTATGGAAGAGTTCAAACTACAAGCAGATGCCCCCATTTTAGCTCAACCCAAACTCAACCCGGCTAAAGTGGTTCTGAAACCTGGCCTCCTCAGAAAAAGCCAATAAAACAATTAAAGAGATGCGTCCTCTCTCCAAATGTGGTCTATTGTTGACATCCATTCCACGCAGCTCCCGGTTTGAATAGCAATAGCAGTTAGACTTATATACCGCTTCACAGGGCTTTGCAGCCCTCTCTAAGCGGTTTACAGAGTCAGCATATCGCCCCCACAGTCTGGGTCCTCATTTCACCCACCTCGGAAGGATGGAAGGCTGAGTCAACCCTGAGCCGGTGAGATTTGAACCGCCGAACTGCAGATAGCAGTCAGCTGAAGTGGCCTGCAGTACTGCACCCTAACCACTGGGCCACCATGTGGCTGCTTTAAGAGAGGAAGTTTGTCCGAGGTGACTCCCTTTGGCTTCCGGAGCACTTTGTGCCCTCCCGTTACCACAAAGGAGTCAAATTCTGTTCCTTGGATTTTTTTATTTTAAAAATTCGGTTCGGGGGAAGAATGATCCCGAGTACATCACTAGAAAAACAACAACAACAACACACAAAAATGACACTTCGGCTCCCAAACGGTTAAAATTTCCCCCACAACTAATTTCTGAAATCTCAGGTAGGGCCTTTGTCCTTTCTCAACACCAGCGCAAGGCAACACAAGACACAGCCCTTAAGTGATTACCCCGTGCGATTATCTCTATAGATTCTGGTGGGCGCATGGATCGTCTTCACATCGGCCCTCAAAAGCACCAGAAAAAACAAAACAAAATCACGCCTTGGTAGATTATTTCGCGTTTGCATAGCTGTGAATTTAAACAGACAGGCAACAGAACACCCCGCAGCTCAAAAGCTGAGGGACACCCAGGCTGGGGGAGCCAGAGAGCGGCATCTAATCCCCCGCTCTCCGTGACGTTCCTTCCCGCCAAGCAGGATCGTGTCCGTGCGAGCAACCCTCAATCTTCACGGAGGTAAGCGTCCTCTGTTTCGTCGCTGACGGCCTGCCGGGAGTTGGCTAGCAAAGGTTCCTCTTCCTTCAGCTTCAGGAGCTCCTCCGTCTGAGCCTCGGCTAGCTTGGTTTCGGCCTTCTGGGAGAGGTGCCGGGCTTCCTGGACCTGGGTCTTCACTAGCTGGATGTGGTTGTGGGCCGACACGGAGGCCTGGTCAGCCCCTGAAAAGAGATGATTGGGCTGCGTTTGTGCTCAAGATTATGGTAAACCCAACCCACGAGGATTGGAATCCAGCCACGGTAGATTTACTAAAGCTAATGGGATTAGGATTAACCACTCCCACTGATGCAGTGGACTCACAGCTCTACCTCTGGATTTAACCCACAATAGGTACACTTCTTGGGTAGCAAAGCTAGATTGGTCTTGTAGCCCTCGTTTCTCCATTAGGGGGTTTGTTGGGCGCGCATTTTAAAATGAACACACACACACACACACAGAACCTTTATATCACACACGAGTTCATCCTCAAGACCACCAGGTCAACTGGGGGTTCCTAATATGCTGGAGAAGAACTCCTGCAAGTCCTTTGGACTGCAAGGTGATCCAACTGGTCAGTCCTAGAGGAGATCAACCCTGACTGCTCTTCAGAAGGCCAGATCCTGAAGAGGCAACCCAAGTACTTTGGCCACCTGATGAGAAGGAAGGAAGCCAAAGAATGGAGACCTTTGAACTCTGGTGCTGGAGAAGACTCCTGCATTGAGTCCCTTGGAATGCAAGGCCA